TTTTTCTATTTTAATAGATTTAAAGCACAAACTGTTAACAAAGTATTCTTTATTGTAGTGATTTCTAACACTAAATATATGTCTCTTTTGAGTTAAACTATTGAGTGGCAGTCAAACAATTGGAGTAAAATTATATAATATTTGCCATTGAATTGCAAACAATACATGTCTTTGCTTTTTTATTTCATATCTCTTTATAAATATTATTTCGTTTTTATAAATATTAGCAAAAAAATAGTAAAAAAACAGAGAAAGAATTTTTTAAAAAAGGAATAGTAATATATTATATGATATATTCAATAATATAGTATTGATTAGCAAAAGAAATCGTTAACACTATTAATGACTACAAGTATTCATTAAATATCATTTCAGTTGTTTGTCATTTTTTCACATCAAATAATTCAATAAATTTTATATACAAATTATAAGCAAAAATTATTTTTCCCCATAAGTATTGCGAGAAAAACATTATATATTATCAAACATCATATATAGATATATATTAAATTATAGCACATATTTTACAATACTAGTTATACTTTATAAATAACGGCCAAATGATTGATTTTAAACTGATTTTTGTTGTTATATTATATAAGTATTAATATATGAATACATATTGTGCCAAATAATACACTGATTCATACATTTGCTAAAAATATTCCAAATCATTAGATAGACTAAAATGTAATGTTTGGTCATTTTTCATAAATAAATGTATTTAAATAATTTATGCTTATATTAGCTCATTTTCTATAATTTAACATATTTATGATAAATTGATTGAATAAAAACTAATTTTGTGTAAATCTTTATTTTTTAACGTAAATACATGTCTAACGTAACGTAACGTAACTACAATAAGATTGTAATGATATCAATAGTGTAAGTGTTTACACAAATACACTCAAATACATACACATAACATACAAACACTATTTTGAGTCATTAAATATAAAGACTAGTGAATAATAATTATATTTTCATTCAAAGCACACGATATACTTGATGTTTGCATCTATTTTGCAATACTTTTATTTTGTATTTCTCGGCAAATATATATATATTCATGAAATAATAAAATAGATATTTTGTGTGTAGTGTTGTACACTAAGGAAGTGACATATAATTATATATTCAGCTCAAAGGAAAAGTCATTAAATTAGTTGCAAAAGTTGATACTCACTCTTATATTGTATATCTTTTATGTATTGAATATATACTGTAAGGAGACTAATGAAAAGTCAAGGATCTAATAAACCTATTCTGTTATTAAAGAGATAATCTATTGCATGAATAAATAGAGAACTGTTTATTGATAAGAAAATCTCAATGTAATTAGTATTGTTATAATTTACATACAGTTAAATGACATGTCTATTATCAAAAACAAAATTTTTTAGTATTATTCTTAAGCCTCAAATATATTTTTGTATATTACTTATATACTTCTATAGATCTGTGAAAATTTCGATCTATTTAATAAATTATAAACTAAATACAATACAATATATACTGTATTTATATGAATATATGTCATTTTATAATTTTAAATTTTTATATAAATTCACTATAAAATATTTTAATCATTTTAGTAATACATTTGTTACATGTATCACTTTTAGAGACTTATATACATGTATTATAAATTATTATTTAACTACTATATTATAATACACATGTAACGTTTAAAAATATTTTAATTGATATTTCGTCAATTATTTAAAAGATTAAAAATTTGTACTTTTATAATTAAAATATTTAGTATTTAACTATATTTATCATAATAAACTTATTAAATTAAGATATTTAATTTAGAAAATTCAATTGTATTAAAATTTATGTCACACAGACAAATACAAAGTGACATATTATTTCCTGCGATTTTTATCATATTTTGCAAATAAAATGATTATATTAACAAAATGTATTTTTATTTTTAAATATAAAATATTAAAAATTTTTAATATATGATATTTTAACACCAAATTATAAATAACAATAAGATTTAAACAGTAATAAATAATTTAATATATCACAACTTAAAATTTTTATCTAATTTATTGTTCTTTAGCTAACTTAGAAAAACTGATAATAAATGAATATATAAATAACAATAATATTAACATAAATTTCGGAACTATGCTATTAACTGGCAATGGATATGACTATGATTTTTAGTACTTATCGATAACTACTACCTTTACTTATACCGACAATACATAACATAAAGTGATGTACAATAAAATGGACTTTGGTTGCTAAGCACTTACTTTTTCATATTTTGTATGAAAGCGGATACTAATGGGGAAATTATGTGAACTAGCTCATATTTATTTATTTAATACATAATATTTTTAAAATATAAAAGACAATCATTAAAAATATATAGATTATTAAAATTGTAACTGTTATCAATGATGATATTTTTGATGATAATAATAAACATAAAATAGTTATAAATAAAGTTATACAGTATAAGTTTACGAAAGAGTATAAAATATTGAGAAAATACTGTAATTACTTGATTATTAAATTGTAAACTTAAAACATTTATAAAAGAAAACAATTTTAAGAAAAAGTAAATACAAAAATCACAGTATTTTCACATTTGTTTTGCTATGCCTTACATTTTTGCTGTCAATCACTAAAGATATTGTATTATTATTATTATTATTATTATTATTATTATTATTATTATTATTATTATTATTATTATTATTATTATTATTATTATTATTATTATTATTATTATTATTATTATTATTATTATTATTATTATTATTATTATTATTATTATTATTATTATTATTATTATTATTATTATTATTATTATTATTATTATTATTATTATTATTATTATTATTATTATTATTATTATTATTATTATTATTATTATTACTGCTCTACTGAAACCTCATTAAAAATAAATATCATTTACCGTTTGGTTATAACGTTATATCTCTCTATTACTCGTTATTACATTTTTTCTCATTTTTTATTTATTTTTCATACAATTTACCGGTTCGTCAGTAAGTCCTAACCACTGGCACTAAGAGTTCTCCAATATTTTGTTTGACATTTATAGTCATTTTTATTGCTATTATTACCAATAATTCTAATAACATTTGAACAGATCTTTAAATATAAGTAACATTTTTATGTGACTCTAACTCAACTCATTTGGTGACAGTATTATTGATTGACATTTGAGGCATTGGAAGCAACAGGTCATCACTGAGCGCTCATTGAAATGAATGAGAAGGTAAATGACGGCACAGGAGATATGTGACAATTGGGATCAATAAAGTGAACACTATTTTTGGGAAATGATTATAAAAGCCGTTTATGTTTTGTTATAATAGATGTGTTAGCCATAGATATATACAGCAAATACGACCTTTGGCTATGGGGTAGGGATGTAGTCGATGTATAGATGAGATTATCATTTTATTTCTGACATTCAAATCATTTTGAACGCTTGCCTTCAAAAATTGAGAGGGGATTCACATCAGTCACCACTACTGTACAATATATACACATTAATGTAATATTTTTATTATACACAATATATCCAATATATTTTGCTGTATATACTATATACATATATTTAAAAAGTATAATAATGTTACAGCAATATAATACAAGTACAGTATATGGTTATGACATAGAAAATAGTTGAATATATTGTCAATCTCTTGGACTCATGGCTTTCATTATCACTCTCAACGATCATACCATACGATCCYCTCTCTCTCTCTCTCTCTCTCTCTCTCTCTCTCTCTCTCTCTCTCTCTCTCTCTCTCTCTCTTTCCTCTAGTTTTCTATTATGTCAAATATACTGTACAATAATATATGGTATATATCTGTATATTTATTACTAGTGTGTATGGATAGTATTGATGTTTATATATATATATATATACTCTTTATATTCTAATATCCATTTTGAAGTTCTTTATACCGATCAATACATACGGTTGTGTTTGCCGTACGCGACGCCGCTCTTGAAACGCTTCTCCAACACATTAGTGATGCTGTGCCTCACCAGCACTGGTAGTATAGAATTACAGTGCATTTGATGAGAGAAAGAGAGAGAATATATGACAATATTTGCGATCCGAGTGCTAACAAAAATTCTCTACTATTTTGTTGTTGAGATCCGACAAAAATCATATTTACTACAAATACACAGTAGATATACTTATTATATAAAATATATATATATAATACAAAAGTTATATAATATTTTAACAACAAAAGTGCAATATATTTGCAACCATTCATTTAAATGTCACAATTTTGGCAATAATTCCTTTGCTATGCTCTCATACAGTGAGACCCACTTTGAAAATAACAAAACTTTTATTGCCGTTAAAGAGCTATTGCTTATAACAAGACATTTATAATTTATATGATGGATAAAAATGTGTTCACCAATTGTTTTCATCATTTTCTATATAACTTTTATTTTTCCATCATTTTATACCAAACATTATTATTACTGCAAATGTGGCATTCAATCTACCAATAGTTTAGTATATAAATTACATAATGTTATATTGCTATGTATTTTGTTTACTTTTAATGTATTTTTTTGCTTAAATATATATATATATATATATATAAATATTATGATATAAACTTTGGCTGCATTTTGTCGTGAATTTTACAGCAAACACAAGTTTAATACTGTTTTAATCATAAAAATATCGTCGACTTCACGATCGCTGACTTTGTACATACATAGCACAACACAACCAAAAAATGTGAAATTAATTATTTAACGTTTACTCAGTGCTCTTACTGTTATTAGTTTTCTATAATATACTAAATAAAATATAATACACTATAATACTAATGCTACTGTACTAGTGTTCACTATTATCTCAAAAATACAATACACTCTTTTATAAACACTATGTTTACTATTATATAAATATAATATATATATATAATATATGTATTTGATGTGCGGTTTTTTTACTCTAATTTAGTTTCACTTCACAACTAAAACGACTGATATTGTGTTTGACTTTTGTTTGGGAAAAACTCACAAAAATACTAATAATCATAAAAGTGAAGCAAACGTAAAGCTAAAGACAAGTTGAGGACAGAAAAGAGGGAAACGACAAGTCTTTTGTTGTTTGTGTCAACGTTTGGCTCAAAGGTATGATAAGCTCATTGGCTAACAGTTGTTGCGATAAAAACTCTGTTCAAAAGTCTATCTCTCAGACATCCCTGAGAGTTGATAATCCTTTGCTTGTCATTGTCTATATTGTCAATCTCTAACCCCCTTTCCCTGACATGTCTTTCCATTTTTATATGACCTCTAAATGTTTACTTTCAGTGTTTAATTGCACTTTTTATTGAGTAAACGATTAACGCCAGTGTTTAGTCGACTCATCTTATGTTGCAAATGTACTGATAACTACTGGTGCAGTCTGTAAATACCAGTGCTCTAAATGATCCAAATAACTACTTATGACTGCTTTGTCAACACTGAGAGAAACAACAGGAGCTGAATAATACTTAAAATATATTGTCATAAATCATAACTCATAAAAGGCTTATCTAAAAATCCGATTTTTGTTAAGGCATTCAATAAATTAATAAATTTATTCACATATTATTTATTATTTGTTTAAAAACAAAATGTTTTTTTTGTAAAGAGATTATATAATTTTATTTACATAACATGTAGTCATTATTTGACACAAATCTATATTATTACTCCCTTTTGCCTAAAATTGAATTTTTATACGATTTACAGTGTAAGACATCTCAAATTGAATTTACATCAACTTTAAAACTAAATAAGAAACATAAATGTGTTGACGTCTCATATAATTTGTGTCAACAAACAATTGAACTAAAGTACAATATATAGAGATATTTGTTTGTATATGTTTTAGAAAAAGAAAGAGAGAGAGAGAGAGAATTAAAAACTATAATTATATTGAATAATAATAACATTTATTTAACGAAAAATTTAATGTGCATTAACTAAAATCATTTCATTTAGTTTTCATTTTATATTTTTACTAAAAAATATAGTGTTTTTTATTTAAACTAACTAAAAACTTAAAACAAAACTGAGATATTTATTACAAAAATAGTAAAATAAGAAAATATAAGAAATTTTGAATTAAATATAAAAAATTAAAATTAATGGAAGCGTTAAGTGGAAAAATGTCAATAAATACTGTATAATATTTTTATTTAAATTGAAATTCAGGTAATATAAATGTAAAGTTTTTATTATAATAATATATTTGCAATAATCAATTTACTATATTTATACAAAAAATGAGTTATTTTAAAATTATTGAAACGTATTTAAAAGTCTATTGATGTCATCCTCTCTGTGATCATTGAAAACACTGTCTTTGAAAGATCTCTGGTCTATGTTTGCGATAAATTTCTTGACAATACTTTTAAAAATAGATTTTATAGTTTTGAGTGTCAGAGTTGTGTGTCTTTCGAAAGGCAAATATGTGGCACTTATAGGAAATTTACGATTCAATGATTTTATCGACTAATATACTATTGAATTGCATGTATTGTCATTTAAATCTAAATAATATTGCATACAATTTAAGTTTATTTGACTTGAAATTTAAATCCAATGGACAGTTGTACCATATTATGGTTTGGCGATAAAAACAATAAAATATAAAATCTCATATAAAAATAAGTTGAAGATTAGATGATATTGATTATTAAATAAAATATTTTAGGAGAAATATAGTGAATTAGTTAGTCTTATGTGTCAGTCGTATCAAATTGAATAGTTGGGTCACTGACTATAAATCCAACCGTTCACTACCACTCTCTACCAGTGCTGTCATAATTTTCTCAATAGTTACAAATAAAGTAAATCATCAAATAATATATAAAAATGTGAACACTATATTCAAATATCTAATACATATATAGTATATAATTTGTTGTTATATAATAACTCATACTGTATTTAGTGAATTGTATAATACATGTAAATATATAATACATGTTAGGCGTTATAATATTTAAATCATATACTCTTTTCATTATTTGTCTGTTTTTCATATGATATGCTATTGAATGTAAAGAAAGGGCAATAAGTTGTGTTCAAATCTATACCAATAATACATTGAATTGAGTGAAGACATAATCGACAGAAACTACATTGTGTTTATCGAATTCAATACAATTGAAGAATAATTCAGGATTTTTGCTGAAAATTGTTGCCATTCATAGTGACGGGTGTTTAGTGGCAAAGGAGGGGAACATAAGTATAGATAGTCGACTCTACACTACAAAACTAAATGCATTACATTGACAATAGATCAGAGAGAGAGAGAGAGAGAGAGAGAGAGAGAGAGAGAGAGAGAGAGAGAGAGAGAGAGAGAGAGAGAGAGAGAGAGAGAGAGAGAGAGATGTATTGAACAAAAAGAAACAAATGAAGAAGAGATGAGATGAGAGCTCATTGTTAGCCATAATATTGTACACAACCTTTGGTCTTCAATTCAAGACTATACCAACACATTGATCCACACAAACAAAACATTATATTATATATCATTAGTTAAGAATTACAGTAAAGTTTAATTGATTTATATATTTTACTATTCAAATGGACTTTTAAAAACAGTTTCAATAATTTTAAGCTTTTGTCACATATCATATAACTTTGTATTAAACTAAATTTATATATGCAATATACACACTATATATATCGTACATATGTATAAATATATAGTAATACAGTAATATGTTATATAATAAAGACAAATGATGCATAAAATGGTTTTACAACAAATATTTTGTGTATATAAGCATAAAACTGGATTTAAATTAATTAAAAACAACATAATTACAAAATTTTGCTAAATATACTATACATTTGGTATTTCGACATTTTTGCTTACATAATATACCAAACATATGTTATAATTATAGAAAATTAGATTTGCTTCACACTAACAATATCAATATAACTCTCTCTCACTCACTCACTCACTCACTCACTCACTCACTCACTCACTCACTCACTCACTCACTCACTCACTCACTCACTCACTCACTCACTCACTCACTCACTCACTCACTCACTCACTCACTCATATATTAAATGATTAATGATATTAAAAACTAAACAATCCTATGGACTACCGTTTAAGTCATGAACCAATAACTACAAAATAGTATGTCTGACAAAAAAGTATATTTAATAAGTTATATAACCTAAAGCTGTATTAATATTATTATAATTTTGATATTATTAACTTAGTAGAGATTTGCTGAAAATTTAATTATTCATTTATTAAATATTATGTTCAGTGAAATACCAAAGTTTAATAATATAAAATTACAATCCTTTTTAATCTATAGCATAGTATACAAGTCTTATATTAATACTGTATTTACTAATTCATAACATTATATAATAGTTACAATATATTGTGACTCAAATATTAAGTTGAAAATTAAACTGATTGTCCATAATAATAATAATAATTGATATTATACTTATACCAGTAAATGATTTCAACAAATTTCTATTTAAAATGAAAAAATTAATTATTCAAAAAGTAAAATATATAAAATATAAATAATTGCATAAAATATCCAAAAGTTATCTAATATTAAATTTTAATGTTTTGATTCCAATTTTAGTTTACTATTATATACCAGTATATAATGCTTAAAAATTTATTTTAAATAAATAAGAGAAAAAATAGCTTTGCTTTATTGTAAATAATTAATAAAGCTTTTTATTATTATTTATTTATATTATAAATAGTTAATGATTTATTATGGAATTTCTTTAAAAGTTTATTTGTTTATTATTTATTAGAAATTTGGATACTGTTTGTTATTTTAAAGAATTTATTATAAATATTATGTTGATTTTTTATTAAAATAATTTTTCAATGTTTGTACTGTACTATGTATCGCATGAATGCATTACGTTAAGTGACAATAACTAACTTTTTACTATATTTTAAGAATCAGTTTTCTAGTGAACTGTAATATAAGGTTAGAAAAATGGTGTCTCTCTTTGGGTTTGCTTAGGGCTCATAAAATATTGATCACATTTTAGCTCTCTCTCTCTCTCTCTCTCTCTCTCTCTCTCAGCATCTTTGCTTTGATCTCACATTTCTCTTTCATTTTGATTAAAACTTTACTTAAATATATTTACAGAATATATAAGTAATGGATAATTCTCGTATATTATTACTCTTATTAAATTAAATATTAAATTAAATATTATAATTATTATTGTAATAATTGTGTGAATGAGCTATACTACTGTATAATACTGCCAAAATATACTATAACTACGTACATGTATACATGCAAACAACACAATTATTTTTATATAATTAAATATTATCGTTTAGTTATTTTCAATATTAAATTTAGTAAATTTTTTATTATATAAAATTTTATAAAATTATAAGTGTAAAATTTAAATAAAAATAACATTAGAATCATAGATATTTATATCTTATTTAATTAGCATTTTTTAAGTTCAATATTTATATGTTTAATATACAGTATTGTGTGAACATTTGGTTAATTTTTAATGATATCTTTGAATTTCATATACAGTATATTATATACAAAGACAGATACAAATAGTGTAGAAATAGTTGAATAGACAACGACTCGGTTTTTCCTATTTTTTGCTAATGAAGTCTAATCTTTGCTTCAATAATATATGACAACACATTGATATGACATAACATGTGGTGTTGTCTGTGAAGTGCAAAGAGGGAGACGAAGACAATTGATATTAAAAGACATAAATTTACTGAAAAATTTGATTAACTATTTAATAATAATATACAGTATATTAAACAGTTTAGATAATTTAATAAATATAGTCTTAAGTTTACTGCATTGATACTATGTACTCTATTTACTTTAATTATAAACTTTAATTATTTAAATTCAAATTAATTTATAAGATATCTAAAAATTTAATTATTTTGATATTATTTGAATAATAGTATTGAATTTAATAAGAATTTGAAGAATTAGGTCGAGTATTAGTGAATAAATTTGTAAATTCTTTGTAAGATTTTTATAAACTTTAAGTAGTATTTATTGAATAATAATATTAATACTATACATAAAATTTACATTACAGTACATAAATGCATACATTGAAATAGTATGTCTCAAGTATGATACAAATTTAAGTCTAAAATATTATATTAATAAAAATTAACGATTATTTAGAAATTTACTTAATGGCAAACTTTAATAATGAGTTCACAAAGTGTAAGAACTATATGTCAAATGTTTGTCACTTATATTTAAAAAAACACTTTAAACACTTTATCTCTTTTACGGTATTTCACTATATTTTTAGTGGCGTTCAAGTGCTTTGTTTTGTGATGTTTGCTTTTTTGCTCTCTCTCTCTCTCTCTCTCTCTCTCTCTCTCTCTCTCTCTCTCTCTCTCTCTCTCTCTCTCTCTTTCAACACAATTTTGGTGCAGAATTTCTTATTTGGTGTTTGACTACATTTTTAAACTAAAATTCTTATGAGGTTAGGAATGAAAACAACTTTTCAACTGATCCGCAGTAAACATACCATCACTGGGTTTGAGGACCTGTTTTACTATACTGTATATGCAATGATCTCTTAGCCTTATATAAGACTATTGGATTCAGTGATGGCACACATGTATTGTTATATTGCTATCCATTTCTCTTATTTTGCTTTTTCTTAGTCAATGTCTTTTTCGTTGCAATTCTGAACACAAAAGCAATTCTCGCGAGACGTAAGACTTTTCTTTTACTATTTTTCTCTCAGCTTTTGGCGAAAAAGAGAAACAGAGATGAGTTTGAAATACAGTTTTATAGTCTACTACTAAAACACTACAATATTTCTTAAAGATATGTCTGCTTTAGTTCAACCATTGCATCAGTTCTGCACTGTTATGTCATATGATTATTGACTATAACATACAATCTATGATATATAACATAAAATATTTGATATTCATTTGTTCATTAATAACTAAATATATCAAATTTAGGTTTTTTCTATCTATAATGTATTGCATATTAATTTATAATTATGAAATATAGCGCATATTTAAATATTGATTGTTTAAAATAGATAATTTTAATATATTAAATATGATATTATATGTAAATTGTAAAATAGATTCCTAATTATATTATATTTTAATTTATTATTATAATTATACATAACTAATATCGGTCGCATCCATAATATCCAAATCAAAATATCCAAAATTAGTTTAATTACAATTTACAGTAATAATTTTGCCTATTATTATAAATATTTATTGAAAATAAATAAATTTGGATATTTTGATTTATATAAAATAATTTTGGATACTTTTTTATTAGAATTATTTATGTTGGATCAATTGAATTGGATCAATTGAATTGGATCAATTGAATTGGATCAATTGAATTGGATCAATTGAATTGGATCAATTGAATTGGATCAATTGAATTGGATCAATTGAATTGGATCAATTGAATTGGATCAATTGAATTGGATCAATTGAATTGGATCAATTGAATTGGATCAAACGCTTTTTGATATTATAAGTTTAGATATTATTATTTTGGAGATTTTAAATTAGTTATTATGAGTTTGGATATTTTGATTTTGGAGATTTTAAATTTGGATATTTTGAATTAGATATTATGATTTTGGATATTTTGAACGATACCCAACTAATACATATAACTGTACAGTATATGCAAAATATGAGAAATAGATTAGATATTTAAGTCAATATGAAATCAATTATCTATAAGTCTATATATAACTGTTTGCTTGTTATCTAATCTGATGATACAAAGAGTAGTCTTATATAAGTCGACATTCCGGTCAACAATATATATGATGTCGAGGGGAAAGGCATACAAACATTTGGTGTTTTCAGACATTCCTATTGTTTCTCAAATCAATCACTCCTATTGTCTGACTGTGTTTTGGCCCAAATGATGGGTCAATATTAACGTTATATTTATCGTATGGTCTCTTCTCTTATAATTTTGTAGGCCTTAACTCATCCACACATTGAACACTCTGTATATCTATAGATATCATATATACAGACCATAGTTAACGATTCAAGTGATGACTGTATGTTCAGACAGTCAGTCGAGGCATACATTGTTTTGTAGCCTAAGATCGCGATTCAATGGATTGGAGTCAGTTGTGAGACATCAAAGACAATATGTCAACCAAAAACTACATCTTCTCAGCACTGGATGTCTCAACAGAGCATTGATATTAAGGTATAGTATTTTATTTCATCTCATTTTTGCCTTTCTATACCAATAGTTAGGCATTTACTGCTCTTTATAGCTATAAATGACATCAAACTGTGCTCTCATTCAATAATTTTTTCAATACATTTGATGCTTATATAACTTATATATATATTATATCTTTATATAAATATATATATGTTTAATGTGTAATTTTATTTTTTTCTCATAGAAATGTTTATCTATTGGTGGCAGTGGTGTGTTATGTATGTTACTGGCCATCAATATGGGGTCAGATGGTGTTTGATGACAGGCCGGCCATTATTGACAACAAAGACTTGCGGCCAAACACACCACTGTATCGGCTATTTGTCGACGATTTTTGGGGCACACCGTTACATATGGTATGCTATAAACACTTATTTATATATATTAATCATGTGTTGTCCACATATTATGGTTTTATAAAAAAAATTAATAAAATTCAATTTTTATTGCTTGTAATAATATGTATAGTTTGGGCTAATGATAACAAAGCTCAGCAACAAAAATGACATAAATATCGATTGACTCTCAAGTATTATATAAAACACTGTTTGTTTGATACAATTTATATTATACTATATATATATAACACTTATATCATAAAACTACAACTACTATATGTTACTAAAACCAAACATAACTTTCAGTCCATTTGATTAAACCTTTAAAATATTGTATACATTTGTTAGTTGTCTTATGAATGTAACAAAAATAGGCTATAAAACGCTTTTAAATTGAGTAACAATTTTTGTTTTTATTACAATCATACAATAATATTCAATAATAAATATCATAATAATAGTATAATATTAACAGTTATTATAAGCAATAAACTGAGACTCATTTCAAATAATTCATTATTATCTCCATTATGACTATATAGCAGTAAATTAAAGTATATTAAAGTAATATTTTGTCTTTCAGTTAATATATTGAAACATTTTAAACATTGATATTCATAGATAATGACTTTATAGTCAGTCTAAAAATATTTAAAATAAATTATTGTAGTTTCTATCTAATTAATCATAATTTATTAAATATATATTTCTATAAATTAAACATATTATTTGCTTAGAAATAATATATGATAAGTTATGTGTAATAAAGTAAGATTTATATATATTTATTAATCACTAAATAATAGTGCATTAGTGCATTAAATTATTATTAAATAATGAATTTTTTTTATTTTTAAATTTAAGATTATGTATACTATATGACAATTAAATTTTGCATTAATATAAACACATTAAATCAATCATTTATATAATTTGTTAACTCGCTTGATATGTTCAATTAAATTATTTTTAAAATAAAATTAACAAAATAATGCCAGCTATCAATGTCTGTAAATGTATTATTTGTAAATAAAAATAAAATTTACAGTAAAATTATTTCCCAGATATAGTTATTTCCCCAAATAATTTGGTGATTAAATGAAAACTATTTTTTTAAACACTTTTCTTTCCATCATTTTTACTGTTTGCTATTCATTGGGCTATTATTAAAGATTAAATAATACCCATAAAATTGGTTTGTCTTAATTTTCACTAAAACTTGCCATAAATTTTCCGTTAAAATATTTTCAATGGGAATATTTGAGTAAATTATATACTTTATTACTGTGTGAATATTGTATAAAATTTTTATATACACTACTATTTTATATAAATTATTATATTTAGAATTAGTATTAATGATAAACTTGGTTACTATACTGTATATGGCTTTTACGCAAAAATGGGTTGATTTTAACATCAATAATAAGCTTACATTATTTAATGAGATGAGAGAATCAATGGATTCAAAAATACTGTTCACTTATTATTAGCAACAAAACTAAATATAACTTTATATGTATTAGCATTTGATGAGAAAGTTTTTTACCACCAAAATAGATGAGCTTTTTTGTTGTTAGTGTTCATCAATTTGTATCCAAACTAATCACATCTCGTAGTTGTATATAATTATAAATTAGACATTCCTTGTGCTCTGACTTTACTGATGAATGAGAAGCAAAAAACTAGTGATCCATGAGTTGAAGTATTTGGTTCATTAACTCAAGAGTAATGCAAATACTAAAACTGATAATAATAATAATAATAATAATAATACATAATAATAATAATAATACATAATAATAATAATAATAATACATAATATGTATGCTATGAGAAAATGTGTGAAGATATTATCGCAAAAATTTTTGCAAAATTAATGATAACATTGCTATACATTTTGCTGTCATATATTGTGTGTATTTAACGACTAATACCTATTGATTGCCAACACATTTAGTCAAAGATGTGATGTATTTTTGTTGTGAATCTTAGTTTAAGAGCTGACATCACATCTCACTTCTCGATTGTCTCACTCTTTCAATTGAATTTCCTTTGAGAATATTATCTCTGAATGAGAGATGAGGTCGAGTTTGGGCTAAGTTTTAGCTCTCAAGTAATGGCAACTCCTTTGACTACAATATACTGTATAATATATAAAACTAAGTTAAGACTTCATGTGTGATGCTATTACTTGATTGTTAATATCAAACCAACCCCTGTTTGTTACCAGTTATAGCAGTCAAATGAACTGTCATACAGTGCCAAACTATACACAGTATTATATTAAATAAGTGAATTCAATATAATAGTTAATATATTATATACAATACAAATAAGTTATATATATTTTTATAATAAGAGGACTAAAGAAAAGRTGGACACAAATCACGCAATTTGTGTCACACAATGAATCAAAAATATATAAAAAATATTTGCATTGATACTCAAGTGAAAGCAATTGGTTTCACTCTATTTCTAAATAAATGCCTATTTATTATTGATTTAATGATAAAATAATGTAATGCATGCCTTGACTCTAGCATTTAAGTATATACAGTATATTTATATTATAAGTAGTACTATTTATACAGTATATAATGTATAAATTGTCCAGAATTATATAATTTGATAATTTATATAATAAATAAATTGTTAATATATTTCAGGAGAACAGTCACCGAAGCTACCGACCCCTCACAACACTGACATTGCGATGGAATTTCGCGATTCATGGATTAAATCCAATGGGATATCACTTAATAAACATTACATTGCATTCAATCGTTTGTATACTCTTTTATAGGTGAGTCTCATAACAACTCTTTATAATAAAATTCAATACATTTCTAACTCGTCTATAATATTATTATATATGAATAAACATATTCTTAATATAATTATTTTTTAATTCTGTGATTCGCTGAGAAATTCTTTATGAATAACACATTATCTTTATCTCTAAGTTATATAATATTCAATAGAAAAGTATAAAAAATAAACGAAATAAGTCTATATTCATGTTATTCACATTTTTTTGTATTCAATGTTGTTATGACTCACAGTTACTGTCGACTAATATTCTGTGATTTGATGACATCTTTAATAACAGCCCTACTCTTTGCCGTACATTCAATACATACCGATTCCGTAAGTAGTATTCAAACACATTATTATTTATTATTATTTGATCCATAGATTATCGCTGCAAAAGTTAGTGAGTGATGCCATACAAGCAAAGCACTCATCAAAAAATAGCTGTCTTTTCTACTCTAACTATATTAGTGTAAACTATTGAATATATATCATACAATACTTTGTCTATCATTTATATTATATGAGTAAAAGTACTGCACATTTCTATCATTATTATTATGATATACACAAAAAAAATAAAAAGTCAAATAAAATCAGCAAATCTTAAAACACATATTTACAATATATGTGTACTTTTAGTGATGAATACTCTATCTCTGGAGACAAAAAAATGCTTATTAGACTCTAGAGATACTTAAAAGGCTAAGATTTTTCAAATTACTTTTTAAAAAATTTAATGGTTTTCGTTTTATACATAAATATTTTTTTATTTATATTTGATATATCATATACATATATTACATAGTAATATTGCATACTTTAATGAAGATTACAGCACTTTTTTAAATATAAAAATAAATTAATAGTTGTGAAAAAAAACCAAAACTATTTTAGTCATGAGATAGTATATAATTTATATTTATTTGATAAATGCTTAAAAATCCACTATAAATATTATTTTTAATAAAAACATTTAATTTAATATTGAATATTTATTTATTAAATATGCTTTATTTTAATATATAAATATATATTGAAGTAAATATTGAAAATGGTTTATATCTACAGAAAAGCTTTTATGTCACGTTTCTCCTTAAGAACTCATATAATATCTAATAGTAGACAATATTGTGAATGAAAATCTTAATTTCGATAATACTTATTATTTATTAAATTATTTGAATTTAGATTAATTTTATAGATAAATACAAAAAAAATTATTTATTACAAATATTATGAAGTAAATATAATACTTAAAAACAAGTTGTAAACGGTATAAATTTATACAGCACATATTTTGCATAATATACTAATAATCATAAAAAAACATTAGAAAAAACACTAAATGAGTGTATAATGTAATCAATTTAGTCAATGCAAATGTGATTGAATTGACTGAAATAAAAAATAATAATAAGTGACTGTTACTAAAAAAAATCAATTGATAGTAAAAAACAAGTCACGACTCTAAACTAATGGCCAATTTTGAGTCATTATTACAGTATATTTGACATAAGGATTGCTATGCAATAATGTGTGATCCATATAAAAATACATCAAAAATAGCATATAAAGTACAGTATATAACTCACATAAATACATGTATGCAATGCACTGATCTATTAATATATTGTTTGTACAGTTTTATATTTAACAATGAATTAATCTGTAAAACAGTATATGTTTTAGTGTGTCTATAATGTTGGACAACAGTGTGTTAAATATTATATGTCCATAAAATTTTCAATGATTTGAATGGTTAAATACCATAAACATAAAACATTTGAATGTTTAGAGTGAATCTCATTGAATAACAATGTGCTATCTATTTTACAAATTGAAATTTTATGGATTATTGTTTTGAAGTCCTATTTTTCTACCGGTGCTCTTGTGTGTCATTTTGAAAAACTCATTACATTTTGCAATCTCTCTCTCTCTCTCTCTCTCTCTCTCTCTCTCTCTCATATATACAATATATATGATAACTTGAAATTGGAGACACTATTTACCGCATTTTTATAGTGATCAATACAGACGCCTATTCTCTAACCGCTCAACAAAACCATTTCCCTGTATTTAATACACTTCCCCTCTCCATCTCTCCCTCTATATCTCACTTTCATAACGATTTCATTATTGAGTTTAAATCCTTTAAAATTTCAAATGAGTTGCAAAAGTTTTATAATATAGTCGATAACACAAAATGAATAAATGTATTGAAGGAAAGTGTATGAAAATATTGGCGTTACTATACTGTAGATACAATCAAATCTAACTCTCAATTTAATCCATGGATTTCATTTTCTCATATAATATGACATTTAATATTTGCACTATTTTAACAAATCTTTAAATATATTTTTTATATTATATTGTATATAAAAGTTTAAAGTACTTTAATATATAATCTTTCGATTTGTTTAAAATAATTGTCATTTTTACTTAAACTGCTATCTAAAGTGTTTTTAGATTTGCAAATTTTTTTTGGTTATACTATTCTACAAATCAATAACAATTGTAGAAACAGTGTTTGGTGTAAAAAATAAACGTTTTAAGTTTTTTATGCTATTAAATGAATAACATTGAGAGAGTTGTGTGAAATAATATCGATTTATCATTAAGAGTAAGACTAAGACAGTGAAGACTTTAGTGTATACTTTGAGAGCTTTTTTTCACGTTTGCTTGGGTTGTGATAAACCATTGAATGCCTTGTGATGGCTATACACCAGACGGTTGTGTCCTTAACTCTCCTATGATATGGTTTTTACTTTAAACTGAAAGATAGCCCAACTATATCATAGTTTATAAAAACAAGTTATACTGACTATAACGGAGCAGATTTAATGTATTTTTGAGACTAAATAGATATAGTAATGAAATATAGTCAATGGTTTTGTAGATCTTGTAAAAGCATGTGTTTTCCCGTAAAATAAAATATATTATATTATATTCCGGTATCTGTGAACTGATAGTAATGGTCAGACACATAGATAGCGACCATTGATTGCAATAAGTGTCATATAAACTATAATATGACATAAAAACCTTTTTATTACTTCTTTACTTTTATTAAAAAATTTTATTTAGTGTTATATATTATACTTACCGGTATATATGTTTGCTTATCTAATAAAAAATTAATTTAGTAAAAATATTTGGCATTGCTTTTAACATATAGTGATAATTATAATTAATTTATTTTGTAATACTGTATAATATAACAATTTTTATATATTAACATTAATTTTATTATCAAACTTAAAGGTGGCTTCAATTGTCGGGAGGGCTGAACTGCTTTCGGCGATATTTTATTTGTCTGTCCTATTGATATGGACTTCAAATATGTTTAAACAAAAACATAGATTAGTTGTGAGTATTTTGCTTTCGTGGTTAGGATTCTTGTGTAAAGAACAGTCACTGACTGTACTGATAGTCTGTGCCATTCATGAACTCATCCAAAGACGATATTCACCGAACAAAGTGAGTGACAATCAAAACAATTACCGATAAACTTATGTTTTATTTTTATTTCATTTTTTATATATTGTATTTATCTCTAATTACAACAAAACATTACAATTGTTTTGTTTTTTAATAGAAAAGAAAGAGTCGAGACATTGCATGTATTAATCGATTTAGTTGTTTGTTATATTTGTTATCAACTCATATACATAAATGTCACTAATTTTTTTTGGTTTGTTTTTTGCATGAAATAGGAAAACAAAGTGAATTATTCAGCAAATAATTTGAACACAATTATAACCAGAGTTGGAAACATAAGAAAATCACAGATCGCTGGCAGGAAAGTCGTTAAAAACATATTTATTTTATTGTCTGCCTTTGTGTCGGCACTCATATTCAGATTATATTTAATGGGTTATAAACTACCAAAATTCAATCGGTATATATATTTTATTTTATATATAACATTATATAATGAATTCTATTATTTTTTGTATATTCTAACAAACAAAAAATGTTAATAGATTTTTATAACAACTATTAGATGTAAATATATTTATAGGTCCATAAAGTTGCTCTCTTTTTATATGTTTTGTATATATAGTTAATATTGAATACCATTTATTATAAATATTAAAAAACTATTATGATAACACTTCTTTTTATACAATGAGATCACATTTTTATAAACTTTTTTTAATTCATAATCATAATGATAAATTAGTTCTAGACAATAAGCAACATTTGTATTTTGAATATTATAAATAACATGAAATAAAATATTTAGCTAAACAAAGCCAAATATTTTTTATGTTTAAATACATAATATCTTATAAATGATAATATTTATTGTAATAATCAATAGGTTTGACAACCCTGCTTCCTATGCGGACACACCGATCAAACAATTAACGTATAGTTATTTGGTTGCCTTCAATGGTTGGCTTCTGTTATTTCCGTGTGATTTAAGCTGTGATTGGACTAATGCATCCATACCTCTGGTGTCAAACCTAATGGATCCAAGAATTTGGACAATTGGGGCCTTCTTTGCTCTTTTGTTTACTTTGTTATACTATGCCTTAATCAAGAGCCGAGACAACAAACTATTTTTGGTGACATATTTTTATAATCAAATAAATCATATATTGCTTTTCTGTTATTACATAAAGCCGTAGTATAGTATAAACACAGTTTTTCATATAAATGTAATATTGATATTAGAGATAATATTTTAGTTGAGAGTCAATATAAAAATAGCAAACAAATAATGATAGAAATAATTTTTTTATTTCGAAAAATAACAAATATTTTTGGTAAAAATATATGTGAAAATATCAATATGTCTATACAGTAGATATTGAATTCTTAGTATAAGTGCTAAAATAAGTCCATCACACAAATTGATGATTTAAAGTTGTAATATAATATTAAAGGTGATATCTATGTTGAAATGTGTGTACAGGTGCTAACTCTGTTGGTGGTGCCATATATTCCCGCATCCAATATATTTTTCCCGACGGGTTTTGTTATCGCTGAAAGAGTACTTTATTTGCCTTCAATGGGATTCACTTTACTCATAGGAATGGGAGCTAAAAATTTACTCAACTATTGGTATGTCTGTAATGAAAACTTTAATCACACAAATAATTATCAAACTTTATCCCACATTGTATTTTTTCAATATTGACAAAATAATACTTGTGTATGTGTGTATGTGTGTATGTGTGTATGTGTGTATGTGTGTATGTGTGTATGTGTGTATGTGTGTATGTGTGTATGTGTGTATGTGTGTATGTGTGTATGTGTGTATGTGTGTATGTGTGTATGTGTGTATGTGTGTATGTGTGTATGTGTGTATGTGTGTATGTGTGTATGTGTGTATGTGTGTATGTGTGTATGTGTGTATGTGTGTATGTGTGTATGTGTGTATGTGTGTATGTGTGTATGTGTGTATGTGTGTATGTGTGTATGTGTGTATGTGTGTATGTGTGTATGTGTGTATGTGTGTATGTGTGTATGTGTGTATGTGTGTATGTGTGTATGTGWGTATGTGTGTATGTGTGTATGTGTGTATGTGTGTGTGTGTATGTGTGTATGTGTGTATGTGTGTATGTGTGTATGTGTGTATGTGTGTATGTGTGTGTGTGTATGTGTGTATGTGTGTATGTGTGTATGTGTGTATGTGTGTATGTGTGTATGTGTGTATGTGTGTATGTGTGTATGTGTTTGTGTAAATGAAAAACTAATTTAGTGTTAATTGTGTTAAGCCATTCATTCATTCATTTATATATCTAATTGTATTACAGGACAAACCATAAGACGAGTATTAAGACAATAATAGGCCTTCTGTTGATCTCTCATTCCGTTAAAACATATTACAGATGTAATGAATGGTAATAAATAAAAATCATTATTTTTTGACTGTTTTTAGTGCTTTTATAACATAACTAATAAAAATATAGAAAAATAGATTATTAGTGCCTTATATTCAAATAAATTAGTGCCACAAATAGCACACAATCTTGAAATCTGTTATAATTTATTGTTAGATTTCAATATATGTAGTTATATAATAATAAAGTATTGTTAATATCATTCAAAAACCATTTTATATTTGATATCATTCTTCAGGAACAATGAGTACACACTGTATACGTCTGGTCTTAAAGTGAATCCAATGAACACTAAACTACTCAACAATTTAGGCCGTCTTTATGAAAGGGATGGCAACTATGATGTAGCCATCAATTACTTTAGAGAAGCAGTACGGTATGTAATTGATGTAATGGATGTAATGGATGTGCAAAATGATATCAGAATTTATATATATATATAGATAAAGAAATTTCTTTTATAAGTGTGTGGTCTTTGTTTAACTTTTATTTTTGCTTTAATTTGCTGTCAGATAACCATAGCATTTATATAATTAATCATAAATTATATATATATATATCTATAGTATATATCAGATATAGTTATATTAATGATTGAAAGAGTGTTATCGTAAATAATTGATTTATAAATTTATTTATAATTATATAGTATTGAGCCGTTAGATGTAAGAGGACATCTCAATTTAGGCAACATTTTACTCAAAATTAATAACTCAAGAGAGGCTGAAAGTTCATACCGTACGGCCAGTGCTCTGTTGGAAGAGTCGGCTAAAAGTTACCATCAAATATCATCCATGCATTTGACGGCATTGTTCAGACTCTCGCAATTGATTTCCAGTAGAGAACAACATAAAAATAAAGATCAAAGACTAGAATCGGCGGACTCTTTGATATTAAATAACGATTTCAAACCAGCATTTGAAAGCTGGTCTCAGTCTGTAATGCATTCAAGAGTTGCCAATCGACGCATTGAAGCGGCAGTAATGTTGGCCAATGCTCTTCACTATGAAAACTCTGATCCCGATATCCTTTATAATGTAAGCTATTTTTTAATATTAATACTATTTTTATTTTTTATTATTTATTAAAAATTAAATATTAGCGATGATAACGACAATAAAGAATTTTTTGAAAAATTTTAATCCATTACTCAATACACTACATATAAGTTTAAATATTGTATATGACTTTAGATTTATATAATAATTTAAAAGATGAGAGAAAATGCATACCTTTGTGTCATTTGTCGGCGCCTTTTGATCCGAAAAATGAAATTTTTTTATAAGTTCCACACTTTTTGCAATTGTATTGTTAATGTTGAGCGCAAATCGTTTTACAGTAAAAAGTAGTTTTTCTTATTTTTATTATACTATAGTATATTATAAGCTGACATACAATCTAAACTTTTTTAGATTATATGAAAAATAAAACTTTTTTGTGTTGAAAAATTATTATTTGAAAATATATTAAAAATATTTTTTGAAAGCTTTTAAAATGAGTGCCCGAATATAGTGTTTAGTTATAGAGTAATTGATTAATAGACTAAAAAAGACAGATAGCTATTCTCTGATCCAGTGATGATATATATCTAATGTTTGGCCACATGTGTGCCATTTGATTGTAACAGTTGGGTATTGTGGTCAATGAGAGCGGTTCGCCTGAGGACGCACTCGAGCTGTTTGACAAAGCGCTAAGTCTGGACCCACACCACGAGCCGTCACTATTGGCATCGGCGCGGATAATACAGGATCAAGGGATGAATCGTTTACATGATGTGGCCATCGATAGGCTTAACACGATTATTGAGTTGGGAAAGGCTGATGAAACGGTGTATTTCAATTTGGGAATGTTAGTCATCAAAAATGGACGGTTCGATGTCGGCAAATATCTGCTCGAGAAAGCCATTCACATAAAAAGTAATTTCTCAGAAGCGCTCTATAATATGGCTTTACTTTTGTATAACGAAGAATACCCGCAACCCTTACAAGCCGTCGACTATTTAACCAAACTTTTGTCAACCAATAGTCAACACATCAAAGGACTACTTTTATTGGGCGACATCTATATTGAGTACTTTAATGACTTGAAGAATGGAGAGAACTGTTACCACAAGATCTTAAGTATTGATTCGACTAATGTGTTCGCTCAGCACAACCTCTGTGTTGTTCACGTCCGACGAAAACACTTTTATGAAGCCATTGAGTGCTTCGAGAAGATCCAGGAGAGTAACATCGGGTCCGTCAATGTTGAACATCACCTCAAACTAACCAGAAATCTACTTCGCGAACAACTCAGGAATGGTAGCAATGAATTCAAGTTTCTCTTATAATTCATTATCAGTTAATTATGTGATTGTTTGTCAAAATTGGCTTTAAATATGGAATAATTTATTTTACAAAAAAAATGTGTAAACTATTTGTAATATTTAGTTCAAATGATTTATCTATTGATATAAAAATTTTTGATAAATAGATAAATTATGAAAGAATATGAATGTAAATTATTATAATTTTGCAACCAGATTTTATATTTAAATTAAACTATTAATATATGAAAAGTTTTCCCCAAATATTTATTTATTTATTAAATATATTTATGTTGAAACTAAATATATACCCGTTTTAATGAATAATTTTATATCTAAATAATAAAAACAATTTTGTAATAAAAATATATATAAAATAAAATATTCATGTTATGATAAAAAAAATATTTGAAAACTTTGTTTAATTTTTTTATACTTTAAACCAAAATAAATTTTGGTTATCTGAAAAAATAATTAAATCTTTAAGTGAAAATGATTTAGTAGTGATGACATAATTTTGTTCATCTTTTAGCAGAAGTAGCACTTTAGTAGTGTTGGCATAAAAAGACATGTCTTAAGCAAAATCATGGTATAAGTCGTCTTGAGATGTGATCTAAATTGAGCTCCGCTTTGATCACAATATTGCATAAATACTAAACACTGAAAAGCAATAAATATTAAATATTTTGTTCAACTCATCCATTATAATAACGATACGACATGTCTTAGACAATGAAAGGCATCGACAAACATAACATAAGATTAGTTGAGTTTCCTTCTGATGCTGTGATTTCAAAGCCAATTACTTCTTCAATTGACGTCTTGTGTTGTCTTTAATAAAGTTTTTATTCATTTTGAATTGATTGGCATAAACTGCCGAAATGATTGATATTAAACACAATATTAATAATATAAAAACATATGAATATATGATATATCATTTTATTAATCATTACATTTTTATAATCATAGCACAACCAATGAAATAAATATTATATATTTAATAATATAAATTTATTTTACAGTATATTTACTTCTATCATATATAATGTATTGTGTGTGTGTGTGTGTGTGTGTGTGTGTGTGTGTGTGTGTGTGTGTGTGTGTGTGTGTGTGTGTGTTTGATAGTAAATTAAATGATAATTAATTTTTAATGTATTAGATTAAAATATCGATTATATTTACTCCTATAATGCTTATGTCATTTGTATTTTTAATAACACATTAAAACTGCATTAAATAATAATTATATTATATTTAAAACAAGTATTATATAATTATACTCTAATGATTACTTTAATGAGAAAAAGTAAATTAAATTATTTTTTATGAATTTTAGTATATTAATATATAACACTTTTTAGTTTTATTTATATATAGTTTATCAAAAATTATTTATAATTATCAGTTATACTGTATGTATTGATATACAGATATAGAGTATTGTATTAGTTTCATACATCTCTTGAAGGCATTAATCACTACACAAATTGATAGATTTAATGGTATTAATCATTAATCTATGTTTTTAGACGGCATTTATTTTATACACATTTATTATATATCAGTGATGTGTAATACTAACTAAATATAATCAGTTTATTCAATGTTAGCTGAGGTCAAACCATCAAACTGTATAAACTTTATGTATAGTTAGCACTGAGTGATCTCATCTGTTTTAAGAAATATTTAAATAATTATAACAATAATTATAATTATATTTACATCTAAATACAAAATATTTTTTGATATTAAGTCTTAATAAATAAAATATTATTATTTTTAAAAAAATACAAAATATTGCACAATATTTAAAAAAATTAATTATTTAATAGTAATATAATCAATATGAAAATAATTTATACATCATAGAGTGTATAATATTAAATATAAAATTACAATTACTTTGAATTACTTTTGATGTGCATTGTATAAAATAATATCAGTATTTTATATTAATGTATATAACATTTTTATGGTATAAAATCTATATTATAGATCAATAGTAAGTTAAAATATTTTAATGCATTAACATAAATATAATATGATTATAATTTTGATTTAGTAAAAGCTTTTTAATAACATTTGTTTTATATAAGACACATGTAATTTGATGCTTATTTCAAAAATCATATTATATTTCATTAGTGAATAATTTAACAATAAATTTAATATAAAAAATTCTTACTCCAAAATCTTAATTCTAAATATAAATATTTATTAATAATAAATAAAGGTTTAATATATTGAATATTTATATATATATAGCTATTTGATAATAATTTTTATTTAAAATATTATACGTATTAATAATTATAATTTAAGTTACAGGTAATGGAAAATTTTTAATAATAAGAAACAACGTTAAATAATAATTTTATCATTAAAAAATTATCAAGAAATTAGTTTATACTGTTTTAAATTTTATGTTTATTAAAAATAAAATATTAAAGTAGTTTTTCTCACAAATTCAGTAAAATAAATAATTACTTAATTTTTATATTAAATTACTTATTTTTAAATATTAAAATTAAATTTCAATTATTAGTTGTTTTGGTTTTCAAATAGTAATTCTAATAAAAATACAATAATTTTGTTAAAATAAGATTTTCATTTATAACTTCATATTTCAAAATTATTCAAAAATTGTTGATATATTCCCCATTAAACATATAATTGTTATATATAAGTATTAACTGAATAATAACTTATTAAAAGTATATACTATTTTACATTTAGACTAAAATATTTTTAGACTCTAAACTTAGTCTAAAGTATTTGTTTGAATTATTGTAACATTCAATTATTATATCTTTGAATGAATTTAGTCAAAGTTATTTGCCTAAAAATATTTGATTTAGTTTATATAAAATTTATTAATATATATTTTATTATATTAAAAATATAATTTTTAGAAAAAGAAATAAATAAAATAATAAATATATTATATAAATACAAAACAGAATTACAATAAAATAAATATTATATATTGGTTTTGCATTCATTGCTTTTATTAATGTAATTATTTATTAAAAAATAACAAATTTTGTTAGTAATCGTTTTGATATTTATTAAATTTAATTAACTAGAAATATAAAACAATTTTCATTGTTTGAAGAATAAAATAAATAATTTTGTTTAAATGACTAAATTTAGATAAATGTTATAAATTATAACAAAGTATTGGAAAATTAAAGCAAAGAATCAACATTTGATTCAATTGAAGTCATTATATTAACTATCGTTATATGTGTTTCACTAAACTATTCTTTTAATATTGACTTAACCTTTACATTGATTTAATTGTTGTCGTTATACAGTAAATGAAAAATCAATTTAATTGAAAATTTATTTCCAAATAAACATTTATATGTAACTGATTTTCATTGATATTATAAGTTTGTTTAGTATTTATACGGGAATTTTGGTTATATTTACAATACAAAAAAGCATTATAATAACCATCATCATTGAAGTACTGTATATTCTATAATAGGATAACAATATAAATTGTAACTATTAAATTATTATATATTGTGATATTTTAATATTTGCTGAATCAAACACTTAAACAATATTATTATTTTATATATTTAACTATAATTATTTTTGTTATTTTCAATATATAGATAAAGTTGTTTTTCATTGTAATTATAATTTAATTACTGTAAATATTTGCTATTGTATAACATAGCAACCTTAAGATTAATGTATCTAAAAATAGAAAATATTAATACAAATATCTTAGATTTAATATATAATTTACTGTTAAATCATAAAAAACAATTTCTTTATTATCTGTTTAAATGATTAATTATTTTGTAATTATCGTAAATTTAGAGATAGTTCATAATTTACAACTTTTATCGTAATACAACATTAATGTTAATTTTATATTTTAGCAAATATTTGTCAAAAAATATTAAATACATTAATATTTATATATACTTTATATATTAAATAAATTAACTATGAATAGATTATATATTAACTATTAAACAAATATTATACAAGTATTATATACTGTAAGTTGATTAACAAAAAAGTTACATAAAAATTATAATAATTAGTAATTGTAGTAATTGTTAAACAGTATGTAAACTATTAATATAGTATTATTATTATTAGATATTTTCAATTGGTTTAACGCTAATATGTATATAACTTTATTAAATCATATTAGAAAGCAATTCATTTATATAAATAACTCTTTCGGTTCTCAGTTCACTAAACTATAAGGTAATGTATTGTATAATATTTAATATATAAAATATATCATTAAACAGTTAATAACATTAATAAGATATATAGTAACAAATAATAAATCAAATATTTGTCTGCAAAATTTTGTGTTAATAATGAATAGCTATTAGATACTATTAATAGATAAATATACAATAAATATATAGTATTAGGAGATAGTATTAATATTGTATATTATATTACGTTTAATATGATATTTTCAAATAATTTATTATTTAATTATATAAACAGAGATCTAATTTTTCAGAAACAATAAAATTAGATTAACATTATATAAGTAGATAAATATATATATATATATATATATATTAAGATTTTAGTCTTTTAAAGAAATTCATTAATTTAATTAGTATTTCAAGTGATTTACGAAAAATGAGTCTCCAGTTTGTCATTAATCTAATAACATAAGAGCCGAAAGTTTGTACGATATTAGCAAATAAAGAGAAAATAAGTCCAAATAACACTCGATATATGTTATATCAACATTTAAAGCACCAAATATTTTATTTTATTTTTTTTTGTTAACCATTTGGCTATATATAAAATAATAATAATATTGTTTTAATAAAATATTCCCAAATGATTTTCATATGTAAATTTATTTAAAACATTTAAATATTTTAATTTTTATCAAGTATTTAACATAATTTTTTTATGAAAATGCTATACATTTTAAAATATAAATATATCAAAATAAATAATCAGCACAAAATATTTAAATAATTTCCATATACGATATCAAATCATTTTTCATTGAAAGATTTACTATACATATACAGTATATATAAATATATCATTTCAT